AGAAACCCTGTCAACTCGGCTACTTGACGAGCTGTAGCGACTCTCCGCGTCGCGGGCCACGCAGCCAACATGCGTCCCAGTTTCTGCTGTTTCGTGTCTGTCATAGTAATCGTGAGTTTCTGAGTGTCCAATGTCCAACCCAACACATCCAGACGGGTAGCGAAATCGGTGATCTTTCCTTGCGACAACAACGGGCGGTCTGCTGGGCCCCTCTCTCCCAGCAGACGAAAGTGATCCGTAGCGAGAGAACGCACCGCGCGCAAACATCGGCGACCATCAGCGAAAAATCTCCCTTCAATCAACACGCCATCATCAACGTAGTATCGCACGAAAAACGGAGAACCAGCAAACGCCCCGTCGCCCACAATAGTCTGGCAATCAACAGGTAACGGCACCGCTGTACTTNCCCCTTCAATCAACACGCCATCATCGACGTAGTATCGCACAAAAAACGGAGAACCAGCAAACGCCCCGTCGCCCACAATAGTCTGGCAATCAACAGGTAACGGCACCGCTGTACTTTCGTCTGGTGGGGACACCACTTGAACATACTGCACAGCCGCAGCCCCGGCGGGAGAGACGGACGCGTCTTGAAATGTAGTGTGTGTGTGTGAGTGTTCCAAAGCGGACGAGAACAAGGACCAAAACCCTGGGCTCGACCGCCATCCAAATTGACACCGTAGGTCAACAACCGCGTGATCTCCGATCGTGTACCCATAAACCGATGCCCGAGACGGATCCACGGGGATTTGCCGGAAGGCCTCTTTCACATCAATGCGGCAGATCAGAATTTCCAACGACACCCCGTGTACTTGTCGCAAATACAGCACCCGCTTTAGAATGTCGCTCAACACATGACCGAGAGGCATTCAGGTGCTTGATCAAAGTCTGTATCGTGGTTTACGCTCGTACGGATGGGCACGCCAGAGGTGAAAGTGAGATCGTGAATAATTCTGAACTTCGGTTCGTCGATGACACTTGACAAATCTCGGCGCTTGACGTGCTCAAACCTGCATTTGCCGCCGAAAGAGCACGTGCCAGAGTCGGGGAACTGGAAACACTCCCTTGAGACACGCTTCCGTGACGATGAATCACCCCGATCCAGTTGGCCCGCCTTACGCTTGCCGCTCCCGCCCCGCGACTCTCCTGTTCCGGGGAGGGATCCTCCGTCACTCAGGACCAGCCGGAATTCACCCCCCGTTCACAGAAGTTGTTGATGTTGGGGAACTCGGGCACCGGCGGCAAGGTGTGGCCGTCGAACGCATCTGGCGGATAATGCATCTTCGTGAAGGGGTACATCCAGGTGATGATCGCCGTTGTCCACAGTTTGAAATCCTCGTTCGGCAACCTTGGCAGTGCCGCCCGCTGGTACTCGTCCGGAAACACATCACTATTCCGCACGAGAGTATTCCGAAACCTGGAGCGTGCGTCCGCCATGGCTGTGGCTATGGGTTCCAACCGCCGCAACGATTGCACACCACCCGCGGTCGTGGACGAATCTAGACCAAACTTCAACAGTCGCCTCACCGCCTCACACACGTCGAAGTTGTCTGCAATAGGCGACGTGCGGGCAACCCCCACGGGCCGGAAGCACTTGACGTCGAAAGACGAGAACGCACGCATCTGGGCGAGGACGTCGCCCGTGACGTGAAAGATATCGCCCATCAAACCCTGCAGGTGCTCCTTCTGTGGCCCGGACTCCGGCTCCCGCTGCCCCCGAAGTACCCAGAGTGTCTGATTATATTTGGCCTGCCAAATGGTGGCCTCCCTCCTCGCCTCCTCTTTGGCGTTGGACCTCGCGGGC